TATTTATAGTTACTTTCTGATAAGTGTAATAAAAATAATTTTTAAATCGAAAAATGTACTCAAAGGAACATTTATGTTTAATGTGGTGGGAGTTGCAGTTAGAAGCTATTCAAAATTAACCATCACACATTTAAATTAAGATTGCCTTTTTATAGGATAAATATGGAAGATAAATAAATGTATCTTTGACCAAGTTTTAATTATAATTGTTCTTCTTGTTTGACCACATTACGCGTACGCCCCATGGTGTGCTATTCAACTTATTTATGACTTTCTGTTTTGGTTCAGCAAATTTAATTAAAGTTCATTTTACGGCCATTCATCAACAGCGTATGTGAGGGTGTACGTGTACTCATGGATGTGTGAGCATATATGAAATATATGTGCTGACATTGTACACTGCACAATTATGTGGACATTTAAATAATATTCGTTTTTGTTAAGACAAATTACTGTAGATTTTTTTTGGCAGTTACACGGGTGGACCAATCAGTTTCGAAGCTCACTGAAAATTTATTTAAAGGCAAGAAACGAAGCTAACTTCGCTTGGCCGAAGCTTGTTATTCCAATTTTTAAAATGCTCTATTACAATTTTGTATGCTTCTATATTAAGCCAGGAATTCACAAAATTAAATATATGTTTTATATTCCCCGGGGGCGCTACTATTGATTATTAGTAGATTAACAACCAGGCACACTGAGCTCACCCCTAAGGACAAACTCATCGGTGGAACACAGCCAAACAGTAATTACTGCCAAAACTGACTGAACTATCGGTCAAACACACACTGAGACTATTAAAACCCCAATTTACATGTTCGGACCCACCCCTCGCATCTATTAGCTTACCTAAAAACCATTAATAAAAATTTAATATTGTCCTTATTACAAAAATGTCAATCATACATTAAATTTAAACATTTGATGACCATAGTAGCTCTATATTCCAAATTAGGTATTATATTGTGATATTATATTAAGTATTTTAATATATATAAGTCAATTTTAATAAAATAATAACAAAATACATTTATTAAGCTATTTTATAAAGATGACATAAATTTCGGTATGTGTTTAATTCACAAAGCTTTAATTGAGTTCCTATTGAGGTTTCAAGACTGTTTTCTCAAATGAAGCTGATAGTTGGCCGTTTTGGAAGACTAAAGTTTAATTTTTCATTTTCCATTCCTCCAATAGCTTAGAAACCCAAAGAGCCCACCTCTTAACTTGGTCAACCATCATCCAGGCCATGGCGACTCCTCTGATTTTTGTTTGTTGCCTTTATTCCCATTTCTGCTGCTCTGCCTGTTTCGAAAGGCTGTGACCGAAAGAAAACTTCTAACGAGTTTCGTTTTCGGGTTTTTCTTGCCGCTGTTTGTGTGGATTGGGTGGATGGTTGGGTGGGTGACTCCTGGTGGTGGTGGTGCCGCCTGTCAGTTGCCAACAAGGAACATTTTCGCTTTCCCTTTGGCTCCTCTCGAGTTGCGCTGTTGTGTGATTTATATCACAATTTACTCGCATTCGTTACTCGCATTCTGCTCGCCATTGTCCCAAAGTCGGACTACTTGGCTGTTATTGAATTACTTGCGGCGGACGGAACTTACCTAGCTCCCCTCTCCGCCCGTCTCCATCTCCATCTCCCCGGGGCACACAGTTGGTGGGGAGAGGGGGGGAGGGCGTACTGTCGATGATAAATCAACGTGCTAACCAATTTTCGTATTCTCCCGCTTTCTGTTCCGGCTTTTGTTTCGCCGGAGAAGGTGGCATCTTTCGGGCTAACAATACCTTAAGCCTTCCGTATTTGCCTGGGTCTCCTCTTTGGGCAGACGCTTCATAAATTGCCCGTTTGCCTTTGTTTCTCAAGATTTTTGCTTGAGTTATTTTTAATTTCGTGGGGCTTGCAATTTCTCAGTGTCAGTTGGAGAGCCTGAAAACCTGCCACAGACAGAGATGAAGTGGGCAGAAAAAAAGAGGGAGCTCGAGTGGCTCATTAGCCTTTGTTGTGGGCCAAACACAAGAAAGGGAATGCAATTTTTCCCTTCAAGTTGATGCCACTGATAATCATTTCCAATTGTTGATGGGCTGTGTTTAATTAAATTAGCAACACTCGAGTAATTAAAGCGGACTTCTTACCCTCTGGGCGCCACGGCAAGCCTTTCTTCGTATTTTCCCTTCTGGGGAACATCAATCATATGCCAAAACACAAATACAAAGCTTGACGACAAATAGAAAGAGAATTTTTAACTTTTTGCTTTCTGTGCCAGGTTCAAGAAGATTTATGGCCAAAACGAGGTGGAGATGGAAGCCCAATTCCGGGACACATGTGGGTTGGCAAGCCAAACAATCAAAAAGAAGAAATAGTAGAGAAAGTAGAGAAAGTAAAAAATCAGAGTGGGGGAAGCCCGTTAAACGGGGCTAGCAAATGTAGTTTTGAGTCACATTTGGCTCAGCTTCCGACTGATTGTTTAAATAAATGACTCAATGCTACCCCTATTTTATTGATTTTTCACGGCCACTTGTCGCTTCCTCCACATAACATACCCCCTAATACTAAAGCCTTTGATTGATGGATTGGAGGACCCGGTCATGGCATTTACTCAATTCTTCTCAGCACATTAATTTACTAAAAACTAGCATTTTTGTTTAGTTTTTATGACCCGCATATTTTTGCACCCACGAAACCTTTCCCTTGCTGTGGATGCTAACAAATAGTCTGCCATTATCCCGCCGCAAGAGATGGGTCTGCTCATGAGGGCAGATAGGGAGGTTGGGATTCCCAGCGCCACATCGAGGTCCTCGGCCACTCCCACAACATGTCAAGGCATTTGATTGAACGGCCACACAACCAATGCTCCGTCCATTCACTTAAGAACAGTGCGGTCCGAATGTTTTGGGTTTCGGGAAAATCGGAATATCCTTATTATGATGGATTTAAAACGAGGTGTACCTGGAGTAAAGAGAATTTTTATTCCTTAATAAAGCAAGTTTATCTGAGGCTTCTAATTAAGAAAATTTAAGTGATATTGTCATGCCAAATTTAATTTGTTTTTTACTTTATTACTTTTTATTTAATCATATTTATTAAAATCTTAATTCGTTGAAACTGAATATATTTTGGTTAAATGTTTATGTATGTAAATGTGGCGCTAGTAAAATGGTCAGCACTGTATCATAATTCATTCAATGGGAAGAACTATACATACGTATGGCAAGCGTTTCACATAATCGATAATCATAAACATTAGAGCTTTCAATTCGACATCACTGATGGCCGGATACTTAGACTGCACCGCAGCGAGTAAATGCCCTTTTAAACCTTTTTACAGCACTACAAATGTCAATTTCTCCTACAAATAAAACATTTAAACAAGGCCACCGCTTATAATGTCGCATGATAAAATGTTTTTCTGAGGACCCGTGCTGACTACAGAAACCTTTTGGGGTCCAAAATGTACTGCAACAGTTCGCTTTAATAATCCTCAAATTATAGGACAATCAGCTGCTTGTTTTCTTACTTTGCCTTTCTTGGCCACAACTTTTTTGCCTGCATCAATTTGATTTTGTCATTAAAAAGTTTCTGGCAAAATAATAAAGTTTGTCAGCGCGGAATTCGAGGACCAAGAAAAGCAAAAGATCCGGAAAATGAAAAAAAAATCACATCACAGTCCAAAAGTGGCCAATGAAAGTTTTAATTTCCCATGCAAAGCGGAAGAGCAGAGACGGCTTGCCAAGAGCAAACTATGACCGTGGGCGGAACCAAAATGTTCATCATCGCAGAGTCCAGGATGAGCTCGAACTCGACTGCGACAAGTCCCGACTTCTGATTGCATGGAAAACGATTATAAATATAATGCAGCTATAATATTTTGTCAGAGAACATTATATTAAATCAATAAATTCGCATCAATGATATGTGAAGTTATTTCACCACACTTAATTAGGAGGATGTGTGGGCCAAGGATATTTAGAAAAGTCCTGATAGTTATTGCAACCATATTTCAAATGGAAAAGAGCTGGTTTGTTTTAATAAAAAGGACTGGGGAATGGATAGTCATTAATCACTACAAAAAATGGTGACAATTCGTTTTCTCATTTGGTTGGGTTTGTTGGATACCCATCTTTAAATCTCAGAAGGTTAACATTTTGTTGTGTTTTTTATGTCCGTTTTGTTTTTTCTTAAATTATTGATAAATAATAAAGCTTCAAAAATTATATTATTATTATTATTATTTAAAAAAGCTTAGTTTCTGCATAAAATCAGAAATCCATTTTATGGCTCCTACTTGTGAAAATGAAGCTTTAACAAAGCCAACAACCTATTGATCCTCCGAAAAATCCAATTTATACGCTTAAAAACTCAGGGAGTTTAACTGCACAGGAAAACATTTGATTTACTACAAAAGTAAGTTGCTCCTTGAGCTTTTTGACAATCTATTTTTACATAATCACTCTTTTTAAGTCTTTACGATGATGTACTGCAAAAATTAGATCAAATATCTGGTGTTTCTTTTACAACAACGAACACGTTTCTTAAAAAAAGAAATTATTGGATTTGTCAATTTTTGCTACCTCAGAAGTTTTAAAAACGTAATTAAAAGAAATTAAGTTTTTATAACCATTCATTGATAGCTTTCTTTGGAACACTAGTGTTGAGAGCGAAACTAAATTGTTTTTACAGCAGCCCACACCACTCACTCGAAAGCACAGACGGAGAGCAGTAAACTATGTATTGAAAATTAACTTTATTTAAATTTCAGCTTCCGAATCGATGTGTATTACAGTTTGCGTTGCGGAGCACGCTTAAAAACTTTGTCTTTTCTCCTTTCTTATTTCGCTTATGTCCGATTGAGATGGTTCTTAACAACGTAAAATGAGATCGATATTCCTTACAGCGATATCTCGATGTTTATATCGAGTGCTTATATATAACAAAAAGAAATCAAAATTAAATTTAAATTATGGCGGCAACATTCCCCCTCCTGTAATTGATCCTAGGGTGGTCAGTTACCATCTTCTAAGCCGACATCTAGAACCGCAATCTTCGTAGCTGGTCGATCGAGAACTCCATGCTGCGTTTTAATAGTGGCTCGACGAACTTGTCCGTCCTTGGCAGGAAAAGTGTTGATCACGCGTCCTTTAAGCCATAGATTTCTAGGCAAGTTTTCATCGATGATTATGACCACGCTTCCAACTGATATTGGGGGACACTTTTCAAACCATTTAGTGCGTCTAGTGAGCACTGGTGTAAACTCCTTCACCCAGCGTTGCCAAAAGCGATCTCCAAAGAGTTTTACCTCGTTCCAATGACGTCTTAGGTTAATCTTCTCTTCCTTGATTGGCTTGTAACCGTTCGATGAACCCATTAGCAGGTGGTTCGGAGTCAACGCAGAGTCGTCCTCGGAGTCCAGGCTGACGAAAGTTAAGGGACGTGAGTTAATGATGAACTGTGCTTCCATTAGAGCACACCTCAGGCTTTCGTCGTTGAATGAGTAATTCGGGCAGATGTTTTTTAGGACTGTTTTTGTAGTCCGCACTAATCTTTCCCAAGCACCGCCCATATGGGGTGCTCCTGGAGGGTTAAATAGCCATTTAATGCCATCAAACTTGATTGCGATTTTATCAAAGTCGATCTTGATCAGCTCCTCTCGCAATGTCTTTTCAGTGGCCTTAAAATTAGTGCCATTATCGGAATAAATTTCTCTTGGTGTCCCACGAAGTGCCATGAAATTAGTGAAACACATCACACAGGAGCTTGTATCGAGGCTGTGAGCGATCTCAAAGTGGACTGCACGCAGGGTTAAGCAGGTAAACAGCGCAACCCATCTCTTCTCTTTCCGTCTTCCAACGTTGACTAGGATAGGCCCAAAATAATCGACGCCGGTGCACGTGAATGGTTTTTCAAAACTTGCCAACCTAGCTTTTGGAACCGCGGCCATTTGTGGAGGCTGTGGCGTTGCGCTACGATTTTTACATAATTGACAGGCTTTTCTTACGGATTTGTGTAGTACTCTTAGGCGCAGAATATAAAATTTGGATTTTATATCATTTATCACGGTTTCGTGAGCGAGGTGGTGATATTTTTCGTGATAGAAACGGACTAATAAGAACGTTACCCGACTCTCTGGTGGCAATATTATCGCGTCCATAGTATATCCGATTGCATTCACTCGACCTTTAGTGCGAAGTATTCCGTTGTCGTCCAGATATGCGTTTAAGCCAGTCAATCTGCTTTTTGCGCTTATTGTCTTTTTACAACTTAATGAATGGATTTCGTCCGCGAACTCCAGCCTCTGTGCTTCCTTGTATAGAAGGGTCTGTGCTTCTTTGACGTCAAATTCGGTCACTGCTGTCGGCATGTCCGTCCTTTGGCATTTAGCTTGTAGTCGCCGGATATATAGGGACATGTTTGCGACGGCTCTGTACAGGCGCCGCCAATCCGAGAGATATTCCACGTCGAGTAAGACTTTATTCGCACGGGTTATAAAGACATGTCTGCGGAGTTCGGTCGTATCGATCTCCGTTGCCCGTGACGGAACTGTTGGCCAGTTACTGGGTTCCGTTTTCAGAAACTCGGGTCCGTAAAGCCATGTGTCCACGCAAGGATTTTTGATGACCTTCGTTGCCCCGTCTGCGACGTTGAGCTTTGATGGGATCCATCGCCATTGATCCACTCGAGTGGTCTCCAGGACTTCGCCGATTCTGTGCATCACAAATTGTTGAAAGTTGCGAGGGTCCATCACCAGCCATTGTAGAACGGTTCGTGAATCCGACCAGAACGTAAGATCGTCGACTCGAAGATTACGTACGTTGACGATTTTGTTTGCTAAGCGTGAGCCCATCACGGCGGCTTGGAGTTCCATGCGCGGAATAGATAATGGCTTTAGTGGCGCCACTTTGCTTTTCGCGGCCACTAGCAGTACGTCCACCTCGTCTTTTTGTGACACTCGGAGGTAGCAAGCAGCGGAATAAGCATGCTCGCTAGCGTCCACGAACGTGTGCAGGTCGATTCGGGTTTCTGCAGATATCCTTGGGGAGTAGCATCTCGGAATGTTAATTGTTGCCACTTGAGGCAGTAGCAGCTTCCATTGATTCCAGTCCTCCGACAGTGATTCTGGCAGCTCTTGGTCCCAGCTGATATTTGCGCGCCAGATTTTCTGCAGAAGGATTTTTAATCCGATCGTATGACATGACAGCAGGCCCAAAGGGTCGAAGATCGACATGAGAACCTGAAGGACTTCTCTTTTCGTTGGGACTGCAGGATCGGTAAGGACGTCTCGCTTAAGTCTTGAGAATCTGCAAATAAACTTAAATACGTCTTTATGTGGGTCCCAGTACATACCCAAAACCTTTTCTGTAGCGCCGAACTGCACTGGCTCCTGTTTTTTGGCGTCTCCATCGTTCTTAAGATACGAGAGAACTGTACTGGAATTTGACGCCCAGTTTCGAATTTCGAATCCGCCTCTGGAGTGGACCTCTCTTACTTGGCTGGATATTTCGATGGCTTTCTGTTCATCACTCATACTGTCGATGAAGTCGTCGACATAGTGCGCACGCTGAATCGCATCCAAGGCTAATGGGAATTGCTGCTGGTGGACTAAGGCATTTTTGTCGCGCACGTAGTGGGCTATGAATGGTGCGCAACTAATACCAAAAGTCATTGCACGCATGACGTAAGTGTTTATCTTATTTTGGTTGGTATCATACCAAAGAAAGCGCTGGGAATGCATGTCTTCTTGCCGAATGTTGATCCTGTGGAACATTTCGGCGATGTCGCCACTTACGGCGACTTTTCCGACTCTGAAGGCTAGAAGAACGTCGATAAGTGGGTTTAAGCAGTCCGGTCCGCTTAACAGAAGGTCGTTGAGGCATATCCCATTTGTTTTTGCTGCCGCATCCCAGACCAGCCTTATTTTTCCTGGCTTATTCGAATTTAGGGCTATAAATATTGGTAAGTACCAGGTGCGAGTTTCTTCTTTCTCCGCCTCCTCGTCAGACAGTTGCTTGGCGTATCCTTTGGTAAGAAGATTTTTGATTTGGTCGTCGATTTTCGTAAACAGGTCCGGTTCCCTCAGAATTCTGGTTCTCATGCATTGTAGGCGCTTTAGAGCGGTAATGCGACTCTCGGGAAGTCTTTGAATATTATTCCGCCAAAGAAGCCCAACTTCGTATTTTCCACACTTGTTTTGGCAAGTCTGATCTAGGATTTCGACTGCTCGTTTGTCCTCGCTTGAAAAGAGTTTTTTAGGCGAGATTGACTCGAGGTTGAAGTGCTCCTTTACTTCTTCGTGAAGCTTTTGCCAGTTGCAATCGCAGTGGTGCATAGATACGTGACGATTTGAGTTTGCCGATCCCTGGATGGTCCATCCTAACATGCACTTTGACGCTATTGGATCGTTCCATTTACCTTCGCGGATCCTGCGAGGAACGGCTATTTTCCAATTGTTTGTTCCAATTAATAACATTGGCTGCGCGGAGTAGGTCTCTAATGGCAGGTCCTTTAGATAGCTGTACTTACTGCGCAACTCATCCATATCAACTGTTTGCTTTGGCAGTGCAATGTTTTTGACAGTATGAACGTTGTTGAGCCAGTAACGTGTTTCGGAGCTAACGCCTGAGATTTGGATTGATGCTTGCACGGATGTATTTTCGAACCGGGTTGTTTCTCCAGTCCACTGTAAACAAATCGGTGACGGTGTACCTTTTATATCGAGCTTGTCAAAAATTGATGAGTCGATTAGGGTAACAGATGATCCTTCATCCAGAAAGGCGAAAATTTCGATTTTTTTGTCAGCGTAATGTAGAGTTACGGGAACGATTCGGAAGAACTGGTTTCCTTCTACGTCGCCATGGTGTGTGCTTACATGTCTTTGATTTCCCACTTCGTTGGTTGTATTGGGAACACTTTCCGAGTGGAGTAGAGGGTGATGTTTTCTTGTACAACCATTTACTCCGCACTCCTTTGGTCGACAATTATTTCGGTGAACTTTCAAGCATCGAAAGCAGGCCTTTCCGGCTTTAGCGACTTGCCATCTCTGTTCTACCGCGCTAGTTTTAAATTGTTCGCATTGTGTTACCCAATGATTTGTGGACTCGCATGCAATGCACTTTCGATTAGGCTGTTGCTGGACTGTAGATCCCTGGCTCGAACTGGCTGCGCAGCTATTATGGGTATTCACAGAACTAGTCCTGTGAGAAAATGGTGTCACGACAGTCGACGCTGCCTGCGCTAATTTGTAGAGCCAGTCGCTGAAAGCTTTTATGGGAGGGACCGATTCGTCGCGGGGGTGCATCGCCCAGTTTAGTTTGTGGTTACTTGGAAGTTTGTCTACAAGCTCCTTCACTAACATTGGGTTGTTTAAGTGCGCTTGTAGGCTGCAAGCTTCGATCGTGGCGCAAATGTTGCGTACTGCGAGCGCGTACTCTATTATGGATTCCAATTTTTCTTTGGGTGGCGGTAGCTTCCTCACCTTGTCGATCATCCTCTCCAGGATGTGCTCGGGTCTGCCGAAGAACATTTTCAGCGTGCTCATTACTTCCGGAACTAGGCTAGGAAGTAGAAGCTTATCCTTCACCATTTCGCGAGCCCTACCTTTTAGGCACTTTTGTAGACGGAGCATGTTTTCAACATTGGAGAATCCTGCTGCGGAAGTGCTGTGCTCAAATGTACTGATAAACATTGGCCACTCCTCAGGATCCCCGCTGAACGAAGGAAGCTCCTTGGGTATAGCTTGTCTTGCGGCGATTTGGGAACTGGACGGTGATGCGGGAATCGCCTGAAATAGCCCGTCTGTCGATCCGTCTTGCATACTCATTTGTAGTAAAATTTTATACTTCTCCTCAATAAATCTCTGTTCGGAAGCTTTCTTTTCTTCCAACATGTCGAGCATTAGCTTGCTTTTGTTGACGTTAGAATTATCGTCGGGTATAATCTGTCCGCCGCTGGGTTTATCCATTTCGATGAGCGCGTCCAGCTGTGGCTTATTTTGGTTTACGGATAATGAGTTGGAGATGTCGAAATGATTTTGAGGCGGTGATCGCATCATCCTTCCAGGTGGGTTTTCGGAGCTACCTCCAGCAAGACACAGGTCACAACTCCAGTCCGTATCCTCGACGTCGTAGCCGACACCTGCGCAGTGAAAGTGGTACCAACTATCACAACTGTCGCATTGAACCCAGCTTTCCTCAGTTCCTATCGCTTTTTTCTTGCATATTCTACACACTTCTTTGCTCATCTCAATTAACTTTTTAGGGTTATGTGAACTTGGCGTGTGGCGGAATTGTATTTGTGTGCGTAATTTCTGTGGTTTTTTGGCTCCGTTTACGTATTACGTTTTTCTCACCTTACGTTCAAGAAAGGGATGCGATCGCGATTTCACAATATTATGGCTAATTGGAAATGCGTCGCTTCGTAATTGTACAGTTATAACGGCAACCGGTTGTGCACAAAGTTTTTAAGAATGTTGAGAGCGAAACTAAATTGTTTTTACAGCAGCCCACACCACTCACTCGAAAGCACAGACGGAGAGCAGTAAACTATGTATTGAAAATTAACTTTATTTAAATTTCAGCTTCCGAATCGATGTGTATTACAGTTTGCGTTGCGGAGCACGCTTAAAAACTTTGTCTTTTCTCCTTTCTTATTTCGCTTATGTCCGATTGAGATGGTTCTTAACAACGTAAAATGAGATCGATATTCCTTACAGCGATATCTCGATGTTTATATCGAGTGCTTATATATAACAAAAAGAAATCAAAATTAAATTTAAATTATGGCGGCAACAACTAGTATACACATTCTTTGGTAACACAGCTTTACACTTCTATAACAAGATTATTTTAGTTAACTTTGAGCTGGCCGAAGTTTATATACCCTTGCAGTTATTACAAAACGACTACATTTCGATTTCTATTCCTATATTAATTATTAGTTAATAATTACTATATCTCAAAGGAATATTTTGATAAATTAAAAACACAAAAATAAATAGATGTCCTATTTTAATTTAATTAAACCGGTTTTCCATAGATTTTAAATTTTACCAAGTCCCAAAGAACAAAAAAAAATAAAAACAAGAAAGGAAAGCTAACTTCGGGCGGAGCCGAAGTTGATATGCCCTTGCAGAATACTCTGTAAATTATATTCTTCAAAATAATTCATAAGATGCATTCTTAATACTCATAAAAAATCCCAACTTCCTAACTTTAAAAACACCAAAGTTATGGCATTTCCAATCGTTCAGTTATATGGCAGCTTTAGGATATAGTCGGCCGATCCTTATGAAGTTTGGTAGGTTGGATTGATTGGCCAAATATAAAACCCATAGAAAATCCCAACTTTCTAACTTTAAAAAAACCCAAGTTATGGCATTCCCGATCAATCAGTTATATGGCAGCTATAGGATATAGTCGGCCGATCCCGCCCGTTCCGACTTATATACTGCGTGCAAAGGAAAGAAGGGTGTGTGCAAAGTTTCAATTCGATATCTTTAAAACTGAGAGACTAGTTTGCGTAGAAACAGACAGACGGACAGACAGACGGACAGACGGACATGGCTATATCAATTCAGGAGGTGATCCTGATCAAGAATATATATACTTTATAGGGTCGGAGATGTCTCCTTCACTGCGTTGCACACTTTTGACCAAAATTATAATACCCTCTGCAAGGGTATAACAATAAATTTATTCTTTTTAAAAAAATGTTCTTCCGCTCACCAGCTATAGAAAGACAACTTTTAAGAAAGTTTTAGTCAGATAGCTTTAAAACTGGGGAACTAGTTTACTCGACTCTCCTGGTGATGCTGATCAAGAATATATATACTTTTTATGGTCGGAAATTATAATACCCTCTGCAAGGGTATAAAAAAGTACATTTGGTTTGGACCTTTACTGGTCAAAAGAATAGTCTGTACATTCCCATTTGAAGAATCTGCTGCATCGGCATGAAATATTGACTCAGTCGGACGAGGTGGATGGATTCCAATGCCTTGCAGATGGAAGTTCCGAGTCACTCTCTCTGTGCTTATTGAATTATATGCAGCTCTGGCCGATGCATAATTCAATTAGCATGTGGGAGAGAGCGGGCCAAAGCCTGCAGACACATCCTGTGTCCAACATGACGTATGCGCAATGCCATGGCACCGACGGACAAACAACTGTAGAGGATGGGCTTGGGACTGGGACTTGGACTGGGAGTGGGACTGAGACTGGGTCCGATGCTGCTCCGTTATGAATTACATTTCAATATGCCTCAACGTGTTCATCATTTATTAACCCGACTACGGATGCCAATAGCGGAACGGAGGATCCTTGAGCGCCGCCTGGGAATTGGCTGCGAACCGGAAGCCGGAATGCTACTGAGCGCCGACGAGTGCTTAGCTCCGTTTGCACTTTCCATTTTGTCACAGTTGTCCAACTAAGTGGAAATTTATGCATTACCCGCTCCTTGGCTCAGATCCTGCTGGCTGGTTCCTGGCTGGGTTAATGCTTTATTCACGGTCGAGCGCTTGATGAAAGAGTCATTACACTCATTCATTCATTCAATCGCTGATTCATTCATGAGCAGACGAAGGCGCATGTCCTTTGTTTTCCATTGCCTGCCTCTGAAGCTCCTGTTGTTGCCGTTAATTAATTGATTTTCATTGATGCTTGGGTAGCATTAATCAAACGCCATGTTGGCCCAGCGACCGTGGAAGACTATTGTTATTCTTTCCACGGCGGTGACCCTACTTCCACATTATTTTCCCTGTCTTTCAGCAAAACTTTTCAACCGGCTTGCAGGAATGCAGTTTTTTGTCAAAGTTTTTCATTAACGCTTCACTTGCCAGCGAAGCAGTAGACTACAGAAAAATGGGAGGAAAAAGCAGCATCTGCTGAAATTGCAATTTTTCCTTACCTCAACCAAGGACACTGAGGATCCTTAAGACATTTGAACCTCTTAGTAAATAGCTACTTCGTTTTTTTTGTTTACTAAAACCTATAATTATTTTTAGGTGTACAAAACTATTTTATTTTTCTTTCATTTATAGAATGGAAGAGACAAGATTGTTCGTTTATAATCACGATTTACAGTTACAATCTAATTATTCATCAATTAAAAGTCGATTGTGACCAATGCTCTTAAATATTAACTTTGAATCATGTTCTTATTGCCAAACAAAATAGATACCATATAGGCATTTCTGACATACATTAAGTGCAACAGTTAAAAAATCCATTTCTCTTTAACCAATAAAGTCAACTTTTAATAAAAATTACGTTTTGCAACATTTATTAAATTACTAACTTGTATTTTATATTCTTATATATTAATGCTAACGTATAACTTGAGCTTACGAAAATAATTCTACTTATTTTAATTAAAGTAATTCTTGAAACGCTTTAGTTAATACAAAATGTAAAACTGACGGTCTATTGACGGTCTTCAATTTCTTTGGAAGACTTACAAATAAAGCATATTTAAACTTCCGCCTTGCTTTGAAAGAATTTTCAACATTTCTTAATGCCGTTGAAAAAGTTTTTAAATTGATCACGCATCGCTGACTGAAAACGTGCAGCAATTTATTTGCATCAATGATTGAATTAGAGCAGCAGAATAAACCAAATTTAATTGGATACCTCCAAATAAAATAAATTCCAATACATTTGTTCAGCTTAACAATTTCACAAGCGCAATTACGAAAAAAATCAAAATAAAGAGCTGAAGTTTGCACTTTGGTTGCTGGGCCTCGTGACGCATAAATAAATCATTTCCGCAAACAGCAAAGGGGTTTTGCATAATAGATGGACTAGATTTATGTACGGTAATGTTGCATAAAATATGCATAAGTTATAACCTACATATAATGTATTTATGGATGGCACCGTCAAGCCGGAAGCTTTTAACTTGCTCTAGTCCCAAAACGCGGCTGCCAACGCGGCTTAGTTGGAATCAATTAATTGGCTTGTGGGCTGATTATTCAACAGACGTCCAGAGGGGTTCCATTTCCAGCTTAGTGGTTGACGTTTTGACACTTTTATTGTCATTTTAAGTCATTTGTGTTTAACTGCTTAAGCGGGGACTTATTGGGCGACCTATTTCTGCCAACAAACGATTGCAGTTTAATCGAGGAAATATTTTAGTGAATGAAGCTAAATTCGACAAGCCGAAGTTTATATAAGGTTGCAGGCCCGAAAGGACATACCTATTTGACCAGTTCCTAGTTATACACTAATTATACAATCGACCCTCGAAAATCCAACAATATTAAAAAATATCCTTATTTTTTCTCGTCATCGATGGTTGAAATGTGTTCATATCTTTGTACATGCTAATTTAACCGAATAGTTTTTGTGTTTTTACCAACACATACTATCTGGAAGGTAGACTGAAGATGAATAGATTAAAACATTAATAGAAACTAATTTTATTTTACCGGTGGCTATTTTGAAGTTTGTAATTTAATTTAATTTAATTTGTATACCGTAAATTTGACAAATATTTATTAGTTAAGAAAAGGCTTCATTTTCGTTTCGCAAATAATTGTTTTAAAGAATGAAAAAAGAGACACCTTTGGTGACAAAGCATGCAGTAAAATTTTATAAACATTTTGTTAACTTCGGCAAGACAAAGTTTTCATACTTCTGCAGTCAAAAAGATACTAAACAAGAAAGGAAAGCATATTCTGTAAATATATTCTCCCAAATTATTCATATGATGATCTTAATACTCATAAAAAATCCCAAGTTCCTAACTTTAAAACTCCAAAGTTATGGTCGGATTGATTGGCCAAATATAAAACCCATAAAAAATCCCAACTTCCTAACTTTACAAACACCAAAGTTATGTCATTTCCGATCAATCAGTTATATGACAGCTATAGGATATAGTCGGCCGATCCCGCCGTTCCGACTTATATACTGCGTGCAAAGGAAAGAAGGGTGTGAGATGTCTCCTTCACTGCGTTGCACAATTATGACTAAAATTATAATACCCTCTGCAAGGGTATAAAAATAACGATGTATACGAATAATTATTCGAAAACAGACAAATTTAGCTAATTTTATAACATGAATAAAATAACGTTTGCAAATTTCTATGCTGATGGGTTTTACACTGGGCGAATAAGCTGCATATGGCCAATATTACAGGCAGCAAATTCAGAAAACATGCGTTTTTAACATTGACCTGTGTTCAAACGTACATGTATAGAAAGACGAATGATTTATCATTTTTATATAGCCCTTAAAGCAGACGAACATGGCTATATAAACGCGCCTAGTTAAAGTAACTAAGAAAAACAATGAAGCCATGTCGATTTTGCGCTGCATTTGACATCTTTTCTATGGCAACTACATATATATATTGTTGTCCGATTTTAATTTAATTACCGTAATTTCATAATATTTAAATATTTCCAAATCCCAAAGAACAAAACAAAAATTAAAAACAAGAAAGATATACTTTTTATACCCGTTACTCGTAGAGTAAAAGGGTATATTGTATTCGTGCAAAAGTATGTAACAGCTAGAAGGAAGCGTTTCCGACCCTATAAAGTATATATATTCTTGATCAGGGTCACTAGCCGAGTCGATATAGCCATGTCCGTCTGTCCGTCTGTCTGTCTGTCCGTCTGTCTGTCCGTCTGTCTGTCTGTCTGTCCGTATGAACGCTGAGATCTCGGAAACTATAAAAGCTAGAGGATTGGCATTTTGCATGCAGATTCTAGGAGTTCCTACGCAGCGCAAGTTTGTTTCAAAAAGGTGCCACGCCCCCTTTAACGCCCACAATCGCTAATATACTATTTTAAAAATTTAAATATTTCGGAAAAGTAAAAATGCAGTTTTATTGTGTTTATCAATACCTATCGAAATGTAGAAGAAATTTTTCAAATCGGACCATTCGTTAAAAAGTTATGCGTGATTAAAGTTTCTATCTCCATCTCCCTCGCACTCCCTTTACCTGAGTAACGGGTATCTGATAGTCGGGGCACTCGACTATAGCGTTCTCTCTTGTTTTATTTGTTTTTTTCCGATTGTTCTTATGGGAGCTATATGATATAGTTCCGACTTATATACTACCTGCAATGAAAAGAAAACTTTTGAGAAATTTTCAAGCAGATAGCTTTAAAATCAAGGGTCTAGATTTGAGGGAAATGGACGGACGGACGTACGGACGGACTGACGGACGGACAGACGGATGAACCCTCTGCAAGGGTATAAAAAACGAAACGTAAAATAAATTGTCAATGTCAAAGCACTTTTACTATTAAAGCACTAATATATAATATATAAGCATATATAAACACAAAAACAGGCATTGCATTTTCTATTCATTCTCCTAAGACCAAAATATATTAAATTATAAAGGGCGCCAAAAATCAAAAGTTGTCGCTTATAGAACTAACTATCGATAAGCATCTTCAAAATAATGTGGAAATATGTTCCAGTAAAATTAACTCTTCGTTAATCGATAAACTTTAATGCTAAAAAAAAAGCCAGAATAAAAAATAACAAGAGCAGACCCATCTGTGTGTAAAGTTATTTGTTTGACAAAAACGGTTGAGTAAGAAGTTACATTAGAGAAAGATAGATGGCGCTTTTGACACGTGGATAATTTGTTATCAAATATGGCTAGATGATAAAGTGGAATTTAGTGCCAGTAAAGTTAGTCATTAATTCTTTGTTAATCGATTTACATTAATGCTAAAAATAAAGGCCGAATAAAAAAAAAGAGGAACAGACCCCTCTGTGTGTAAAGTTATACGTTTGGCAAAAACGGTTGAGTAAGAAGTTACTTAAGAGAAAGATAGATGGCGCTTATGTACTGTGGATAATATTTTGCAAGAGATAGCCAGATAATACATGTAAAAATCTATGCTTTCCAGATTTTTGGTAATCAAAAAACGTATATTCTTAATATACATTTTATATACATATACATCATACTATACATTACTTTTATTATTGAAAATAGAAAACAACCCAATTTCGAAATGGTTTCTGAAAAAGTTAAGAATGGAATTGGCGCAATTTCTGTTGGCATTTTTAACAGAAACGGCCACACCGCAGTAACAGCTGCTCGCTGGCACAAGAACAATCAGCAAAACCGAAAAATTGTGCAATTGCTTCAAAAAAACAGAAACAATTGAATAAAAGAGCGCGCAACTTTGTTGATGCCCGTCGGCGGGCGAGAGAGCGAGCGCATTTGTGGATCAAACATTCATCGCAGGAGGATGAAAAGCGCTTGGTGACACATGTCGGATACTTGACGGCCTCCGCGGAATGCAGACTGTTTGGCTGTTGCATAAATTCCGTTAGTAATTTTAACTATTTCTGCCGCCTCTATCGTGGTTGTTGCTGTAGTTGTGCGCGTGTGCAGTGTGTGTGTGTCTCAGTGTCTATATTAGCTTAGCGATATATTTATATTCCTAATTACAAACGTTGTGTCGGCCGCATCGCATTGCCGAATCAAAAGTTTTAGTTTCCCATCGACGGGCGGATCTTTTAGTCGCTAACATTACAACGAACTAACGGTGCTTACGTGCCACACGACGCACATACCGTAATGCCCGAACACACACACAACTTACCGCCTTCACCTTGAAGTGTCTGTCGAAGTGTCGGAATTGCTTCCTATTTATTTGCCATTATTTTAACGGAACTTCTTGCACTGGGAGAGTGGTGTCAAGGTAGCCGTCCTTTGAACAGATTTATGTACATACAAAAAAAATGCAGACTGGGTCAAAACCATAGTATTTCTGGTCGGCAACATTTTTTAATCGAGTGCATTGCAGCTGACTAGTGAACAAAATAAAATATTTTTTTATAAAACATTAATTTGCTATTCATTTATTAATACAAAAATAATGTAATATTGTTGTATTTTATTTTGTTTACAGCGCAGCCTTTGCAATCTAAAACTATAAAATTGTTTAATAATTTAAAAAATAATTTAAAAAATTAAATTGAACATTAAAAAAGTATTTTATTTTTATAATATTTTAAATGTTTTTTTTTAACATGATCTGACTGGTTTAGTTAAATAAAATCTTTTGTTGCGATTGCAAAAAGAGAGAAGTTGTAACAGAAATTTTTTTCAGTAGCCACCCCAAGTATCAGTCTCTTCTAAAATCATCCTGAGTTCTTTGTGTCATTGTTTTGAATTGATCCCTACATACATACATATGCACATATGAACATATGTACATACATTTATGAGAGTCTGGGAAAAAAGTGTCGGCAGCTGATAATAGAACGTCGTTATTGTTCAGTTGAACTTTGGACGATCCTAACATTTGTGACTGTGTTTTTTTGCAACAAGTAAATAATTTCTAATCGTTTCGATTTTTTTTTTTTGCCGAAAAATGTATCGGTTTTAACGTTAGGTATGTAGTCATACTGAATGTGTTAGCGCTTGGAATTTTATATTATGGCTGTAAATTAACGGCAGTGAATAAAGCATTAAAAACTACATATAACAATATTTTTTTTACTTAAATCTATTTCAAAGTGCTGCAAAACAAACTAACTAAAACAAAAAACTTTGAAAAAATTTGGAAAAAATGTGATAATTACACCAATTAAAAAAATGTTATTTATTAATTAAATATTAAATATATTAAATTATGACAATTAACCAAATGTGTGTGTACACTTTTTTGGACTATTATTTTTCAAAGAAAATTCACATTCATTACTGTTTATCTTCAATCATTTAAGGCAAATAGTTTTTTAGTTTAAAAGATTTAAATTAATAAATTTAAATATACCCTTCTACTTTTATTTTGTCTAGAATTTTAGAAATAGGTCTGAACCCAATTTTTTATTATTAGGAATGCTGTTTCGTGTGTGTACTGTACATATTTAAACGGTGCCGTTAGAACTGTAAGAATTGTGGCTGGAGTGAATCTCAAACTGTAATGCCGAATAAAGCAATTGTAGTCTTCCATCTCTCTTTTCCTCACTCACAAAACTCGCATGCGATTAAAAACTACCGCAACAATAGTCATGAAACAAACCCTAATCATTTTGATTTTTTCTCTCTTTTACACCCACAGTCCAGGCGATCGGCACACACACATCACGTGTTTGACTCTGGCAACAATTTTGTGGCCAACGATCACGCGCGAGAATTTCTCGCTCTCTCTCCTTCTGCTCCCACCCACTCCGACTATCGCTCTCGTTTGTGGTCACGATGTTCTCACTACAGCAACTGGTCAGAGCGGCGGCAGCGACATCGAACGGTGGCAGCGATCTCAGCCGGCTGCTGCGCCACATGAGTGGCGCTACAACTACACTGGTAAACAAAATGACAGTAAATTAAAATATTAAAGCTTAATATTAAGATGCGCCTTTTTTTTTTATCAAATTTGATTTGTTTTAATCTTTTTTAATCCTTAATGGCAGAGAAGTGTCTTTGGCCAAAATAAGTTAGTACTGAAGAAAATAATTTAACAAGTCAGTTTGAATATTGTTTATTTTGAGGCAATAAAATAAAAATATTAAAAAAAGCATACATTTTTATAGTACGTAATTATTTATTTTATATATATCATTATTCTATTTCTATTATATTGTGTTCTAAACTAACAGGAAAATATATTAACATTTTTTTTAGTGCACACCGACAGCTACGAAGCACTCTAGTCAGACGAAGTTGGGCGACAACGGCAGTCACGGTTCGCCCTCGCACACGGACGGTCGCAGTCACAGCGAATCAGAGTCAGATTTGGAGTCGGCGCGTGGAGTAAATATTTCAGCACAGCAGTTCGCCAGGAGGATACTGCAGCAGCGCAGCCAGGACATCCAGCGCCACATCCACACCCATACACAGGCAGACAAGGGACCGACTAGAGCCAAGTCCTCGCAACAACAACAGCAGCAGCAGACCGCCACAAAGTTTGCCATGTCGTCGCTAGCGGCAGAACCCCTGCAATCCCAGAAACAGGATGAAATCTCGGCCAGCACGGGCACCGGTGTAGAGTCGCATAAAACAGCCTCTTGCCATGATGTGGGATCCGCGTCGGCCAGCGCCGGCAAAAAGCCCTGCTTCAGCACGGGTCTCGGCGAGATTCTCCAGTTCATGGAGCTTATTGGCAACCTAAAGGTACGTGAAACTGGTTTTTCATCATTTTCTTTCCGATTTACCCTACTCCGCTCGCGCGTCATATGCTCGCATCGATTTTTCCAGAAGCCCTCTTTGGTTTTTTAAAATGTTGAGATGATATAAATATAAATCCCAATCAACGATTACTTCAAATTTTGAAAAAAAAAAACTCAAACTTAAAAAAAAGACAAAAATACATGTTTTATTATATTAAAAATATAATAACCAGGAAACAATAAAGCTTTTATTCCTTCGATTACTTCCATGCACTTCAGGGAAATCCTTTGACTTCAACTAATGTCGCTGAATGCAAGGTTTTAAACGACTTTATATAAAAGATACATATATATATTAAATGGTACTAAGAAAATAATCTATATAAAACCTGAAGAAACCGTGCACTTATTTGATTAACATTGAGTAGTCCTGGTTTTGGTTTTGCTTATTTTGACGGTCCTCCAACTCTAAGACATTTTAGAAGCAACACAAATATGACTCAGCTTTTCTTATAAAACATAATCCAAACCCATTCCCTCCCCGAACCTCGACACCCTCTGGTAATAAACTCATACGTAGGCCAGAAAACCAAACGAAAAATAAACAAAAGTGTGAAATCCAAAGCAAATAGAATGCCAACATGTATTTATTTACGTTTTGTATAATCAATTCTTTTTTCGTTCTTTCGCTTTTTATTTTTTGGTATATTTGCGAATGTCTTCTATAATGTCAGCGACAACCTCGCTCTTGTGTCCCCCTTGAGCAAATTTGTATAGTCGGTTGCCAAGAAATTTATATATCTAATGTATATGAACATTTGCATACAGTTTTGTTCGTGAGTTTTAAATTATTTTTGTTTAAAAACAATTTAAAATTAATTTTTTGCCCACAAGGTTACTGTTTATCAGAAATTAGTGATAGAAGCTCAGACAAAGTGCAAAGTCTATCGAGCAAGAAAATGTATCTTTATATAAAGCACACCTGTATGTAAACTGACAAAGGCAAACAGTGCAAAATTTAAGAGCTACACACGTTCTAGAGCAATTAGCTTTGCTTTTATCTAATCAGCACAGTTGAAACTTAAACCCATCTTCAGAATGACGAAAATCCCAAAGCACGGGACGCAATTCCTTATCGACAAGTTGCAGAAAGTGAATCGCTTAATCTCCGCAACAAAATTGCAAAAATATACAAAAAGTTCAGGCAAAGTTCCAAATGGCTCACGTGAGCATGATAATGTTTTGCTGTTTTTTCCTTCTGAAATGTTACGGATTCATCGTCAAATTTAGCATGAGCAATACTCAACCGCCAGCATTGACGTAAGCAGGGCAACAGAACTGAATACACCACAATAATATTTTCACAATGCCAGTTTTCCAAGTTTTCTTTATTTTCTATTATACATATGCGATTGCATGAAGAACGTGCAATCGCAAAAAAAAGGCGCGTGACTTTGATCTTGGCCTTCAAATTATAGACGCGTTCTTTGAAAGTTGATGGGGCTCCTCTACGGTGGGTGAGGGTTCGTTCGAGGCGATAATACATTCTATATTTTTTCCAAACTGAAACGATAGCTATTAGTGTGAAGTGAATATTAGAAACAAAAATTGTATGTTGTTATATTGATTATTTATGTGGTTAAATAGTTTAAGCGAATCACAAGTAATGATTCAATCAGGCAATTGGTTGTTAGTATAGCTAATCAAATTGAATCGCAATTTTAAATGAATTTGTTATATCATTATTAAAATTATCTGTCCGTAACTTTTAGATTTTTACAATCAAACCATTTTTATATAATATAATAAATTAAAATGATTTATTTTTAATTTAATTAGCTGATGAACTCATCTTTAACTCTAGGTTTATTAATAAACTTTTATTTCATCCTATTGGAACATTATTTTAATTAATCAATGGAACTCCATTTATTGCTCGATTTATGTGTGTAGTAAATGAATATGCAATTATAGAGAATACCCATCATAATGCATGTAGTGCTCACCTAGTCGGTTTCAGTTTATAGATAACAAAATGGTCTGATAAGTTATTCGATTTATTACGTGACCACAAACAGATCGGGCCCTATAAGCAATAATCCCGATAACTGACGGATATGATTGCAGCAGAATGCTGACTTCTTGCAGTTTAATAAAACAATAATATCATTCAATAGGAAAACTACCACTGGCATCAGAGAAAATAAGAAACTTTCAACGTCTATTGGACCTTGTTACCCTAACGTCGGTTTCTATAAATAAAACGTTTATTGATCAAATAGCAACAGCCTAGAACCACCCTCGCTGGCACGTTTGGGTTGAACCTTGATGTGTGCAACGAGTCAACCCGGCAACGATGTCACCGAAGTCGCTTTGTGGTTTTTTAATTAGCCAAAGTGGCGGGAGGTATGTTAGTTGGGTTCTCTATGCACAATATTAAGAAGTCTCAAAGCTGTCTAAGCAAAGTAGTAGTACCTTCAACAAGTCATTTAATGTAATTAATAACTTACCCAAAATATATGTACGAAATCTAGAAAAATACGTTAAATTAAGACAAATGCTTTATAATTTGTATACTTAAAGTAACTTATGGCTTTTCCAACTTCTCTTGCAGCACACAAAACGCACCGGATGGGTGCTGCGTGACGTCAACGACTGCGAATCGATTTCGGGACACATGTACAGGATGAGCATGCTTACCTTCCTGCTGGATGGCAGCGAGGGTCTCAATCAGATCCGCTGCATGGAGCTGGCATTGGTGCACGATTTGGCGGAGAGTTTGGTGGGTGATATTACCCCCTTTTGTGGCGTTTCCAAGGACGAAAAGCGGGCCATGGAGTTTAAGGCGATGGAGGATATATGCAAGTTGATCGAGCCACGTGGCAAGCGCATTATGGAACTGTTTGAGGTGGGTTACTCACCAAAAACTTTGATTTGTAGGACGTATTTTTAATACACATCAATTTGCAGGAATACGAACATGGACAGACGGCCGAGAGCAAGTTCGTGAAGGATCTGGATCGTCTGGACATGGTGATGCAGGCGTTCGAGTACGAGAAGCGGGACAATTGCCTTCTGAAGCACCAGGAGTTCTTTGACTCCACGGAGGGCAAATTCAACCATCCGTTTGTAAAGAAGCTGGTCAATGAGATCTACGAGCAGAGGGATGTATTGGCCAAGGCCAAGGGTGCCACACCTCCGCCGGCCATTGAGGTGCCCAACATGGAGAGGCCCTCAAAACTGGCCAACGGGCATGACAGCTCAAGTTGAGCGTTATTCTAAGAACCAGTCTTAGGCTAGCACATAAACACATCCTCACATATAAACTACCACGCTCTTAACTTGTAAGCCAATCCAACTAACAAACTGTTAAGCCTACCTCGACACGCTCATAGCTAGATCTAACTCTTAACACACTAATTTATTGCGAAAGAATCCGAAAAGATGGATCTGATGGGGAGTAGCTATCAATTATTCTGAACAAACACCTGTTGAACTCGTCTCCTTAGTTCAATTCCCTTTAAGTTAAGCGTAAAGTTGCGGATCGAGTTTTATCTAAATATTCAATTGATCTGGCTAAGAAACACAATTGTACATAACTAAAATGAATTGTAGTTTATTTTAAAAGTGATGACCTAGACGAGGCGAATTATTGTAAATGTTGTCCTAGAGCAATTTTATTCAAACAGCCGAACTTATAAATCAAAATGTAAGACCAGAAGAAAAATCAAAAGGCTTGGTATTTTCTAATAACTTGGTCGCACCTGCAATACTTTTAACCTTGAACCGAACAATTGTAACCAAAATTATACTTAGTTTAAATTTGTGAATTAGGCAATATATAAATACAGACACGCTGCAGACGTGGCTGAGAACAAAGCACCAATTGTTTAATTGCTCACAAACATGAAAATTTATTGACGAAACATAGAAATATAATCCAAAAGGGGCGGAAACTGCAGCACTTATCAGACACGCTTGCTATGTATTCTGAAACAAATTACAGACAATTATCTTTAAAGATTTGAGTAAACATATGGTTAGCAAACCTTCAATGACAATGAACTGACTTTCGCGGGAGGAAGTTTGGTGTGAGTGCTGCCCGTTCTTCTTGGCTTTATCTGCTGGTCAAAGGTGGATTTGTCTACGGGATTACATAACAGAAATATGAACTGACTTACGATGCACTGTTATAATCCGATCTGTTTGACCCATCGCATTCTTTGCCCTGCATTTGTACTCCCCAAAGTCTCGCTTTGTAGTTGGACGCAGTGTGATTCGCATCACAATGCGGTAGGCATAGTCCACTGTGACGGACTCGTAGGAACCTCCTTGCAGCAATTCGGAGTCCTTCAGCCAGAAGTTCACCGAAGCCGGCTGCGATTCTGTGATGCACTCCAGCGTCAGCTTTTGGCCCAGTCCCACGTAGATGGTATCGTATCGAGTCCAGATTGTGGGAGGAACTGCAACAGGTAAGGACACTTGTTAGACGACTTCGAAATAATAATAACAATGAAACAAAAATTAAGCCCCATAAGAAAGTTTTGCAAGTTCGATACTCAACTCTTATTTAATAAATAAGTTACCGACGCTGTTTTTATACTCTTGCAGAGGGTATTATATTATTATTATTATGTTATTGTATGTATTCTTGATCTTGAATTACGAGTTGATATAGCTACGTCCGTCTGTTGATATACAGTTTGCGAGCTCTGTTTAAAAACTAGAGATTTAAAACTTTCGCAATCGTATATTTTTATGTGTTCGTACATCTTTCAAACTTAGTCGAAATCGGACGTCTATATTCTATAGTTGGCATATTTTATACCCTTGCAGAGGGTATTATAATTTTGGTCAAAAGTGTGCAACGCAGTGAAGGAGACATCTCCGACCCTATAAAGTATATATATTCTTGATCAGGATCACCTCCTGAGTTGATATAGCCATGTCCGTCTGTCCGTCTGTCTGTTTCTACGCAAACTAGTCTCTCAGTTTTAAAGCTATCTAATTGAAACTTTGCAGACACCCTTCTTTCCTTTGCACGCAGTATATAAATCGGAACGGCCGGGATCGGCCGACTATATCCTATAGCTGCCATACAACTGATTGATCGGAAATGCCATAACTTTGGTGTTTGTAAAGTTAGGAAGTTGGGATTTTCTATAGGTTTTATTTTTGGCCAATCAATCTGACCTACCGAATTTCATGAGAATCGTCCGACTATATCCTATAGCTGCCATATAACTGTACGATCGGAAATGCCATAACTTTGGTGTTTGTAAAGATAGGAAGTTGGGATTTTTTATGAATATTAAGAATGCATCATATGAATAATTTTGAAGAATATAATTTACAGAGTATTCTGCAAGGGTATATCAACTTCGGCTCCGCCCAAAGCTAGCTTTCCTTTCTTGTTTTAAATGAGTCCTTATTGCTGTTTATGCCAAATTTTACAGAACCTATCCCTTGAGATTTTATTAAAACGGTTGACTATGTGTGCTTGGGTACTGCGCTAAAGCCCTGTTAGAATCTTACCAATTTCCCCATATTTGGAAGGAATCATTTTTTATTCCTCTTCACAGGAAAGGTAAAAAGTTTGATGTCAGTAATCAAAGTTGTCTGCTATTCTTAAGCCTATTGAAAATATGATTACTCCTCAGTAGTTCTTTGGTAGGGCATATGACTCTGTTCGGAAACCCGACTTTTTTAAAAAATCTTACTGGTCTGACTATATCCGATAGCTGACATAACTATGTGATTTTTTTTATTGTTGTACATATATATCGGTGGTTTTTGACCAAAATTAGTTTTGGGTCGACCAATTTCTGGAATAATTTAGAAATCGATTATTTTTTTTTATAAATAAAAATCTCATATACCGATTACATAACCAATATCAAATAAATCAATAACAAATAACCATTTTTCAGTTTTATTTATTAAAGGTTCAGTCGTTACGGTCCCTTGTCATTGCAGACTCATGCTGTATGTCGTTAGAATCGTATTAAAAAATGTTGATCACCCTGTTGATAAATATTTAATTTAGGCACTTGTCTATAGCGTTTCTTCTTGTATTAAGAAACGCTATAGACAAGTGCCTAAATTATACCTATTCCTCAGTTCACTAATTTCAAAATACGACGCATTTGGAAAATTTATGAAACGCCATCTGCAGAACGGCAGTGCAAACATCTGTTGAGAGACGATATTGACCGAATACGTTTTTAGCGCGAGGTCTCTAAAGTGTTTTTTGATTTGTGGACGTTAAAGTGGGCGTGGCAACATTTTGAAATAAACTTGCGCTGCAAAAGAAAACCTAGAATCTGCATGCTCTTGTAGATCTCCACTTTCATACGGACTGAGAGACGGACAGACGGACGTGGCGTAAACAACTCTGCTTTTGATTCTGATCAAATGAAGTATATATTCTTCATTTTGTAGGATCAAAAACGCGTCCTTCTATCTGTTACATACTTTCCAACGAACACAATATGTATATCCCCTAGAAAAATTCATAATTGACCAGCCATAAGAATATATAATATAATTATGACGAGTGATGTAAAGAAGAGGAAAATAAATATCCCTCATAAATGATGAGATAATAAATGAGAGTCTATTAAGTCATCATACTTAATTTGGTTAACGACTACTAACGTTGTGTGCGATAAGGGTTAAGAAAAAATATGGGTCATCCTATTTTAAAAAATTTGTCGATTTTTTTACCCAACTTTTTATACCCTTCAGAGGGTAATTTCAGACAATAGTTTGCAAGACAGTGAAGGAGACGTATCCAACCATATATAGACACATTGCCTTAAAAAACCCTGCCTTTTAAAATTATTATCTTTTTGATGTACCTTTTTTTTGGATTCTAAGAACTCGAGAAATCGTGACTTTTTAATAACATGCGTGACGAAATTTGGGTCTAATTACCTAATTCCAATACTTATGATGAAAGACCTCATCGCAAATTTGTAAGGTCACAGAGACCAAACTTTGTTTTAAGTGATCACAATTACATAAAACATAAAAAAAAGCTTTTTATATCCAGTTTTATAAGGGAAATTAAAAAAAAAAACAAGATGAGATTTTTATTTCTTAAATTGTTTTTCGGGTTAAATAACACAAATTGACAAAAAAAACTTAGAAGTTTATTTCCTTTCTCGTTTTTATAAATTAATAATTAAGTACACTATCATACACCCAGAAACAAAAGTTATAAATTAACCGAAAATGTCTCTTTATGTGTCACTTTTCAATTTGCTTTTTTCTTCTTTTAAAAACTTACGGAATCAGCTTAAAATTGTATATGGTTTTTCTTAATCAAGGACTGAAGATTCTAAAATTTGACAAGCAATCGAATGAAGCTTAATAACACTTTGTGTTTTCACTTATTTAAGAAACATTTGACTTCACTTAAGACCAAATAGGTTGGTTTTAAATTGTTTTTTAATGAGCGAAAAAGCGATAACTGCGATTGTGTTTGTATTGACTAGTAGTCAATCTCTAATCTGGAGTAAAAATTGTAGTTTAAGTAAACAATCTATATTAAAAGCGATGGTTTTCCAGCTCTATCCAATACTTACAGTTCACCACCAGCATCACGCGTTTGCTGACTGTGGGTGGCACCCCGTTGGAGGCGATGCAGAGGTAGGCGCCCGTGTGGGTGCGCTGCACCTGCCACAGGGTGAGGTTCTGGCCCTCCACGCTGTACATCTCCCGATCGCCGTCGTCCGAAAGCAGGAGCGGAGCAGAGCCCTCGCGACGCCAAGTGATGGTGGGCACGGGAACTCCTGTCGCACTGCAAGTGAGCGTAACATTCTGTCCCGAGGCACGAACCACATCCTGACTGGTTTGGTAGTCCACGATGTCGGGTGGCACCACCACGTCCAAGTAGCCCATTTGGCTCTTCATTGGATCCGTGTTGATTTGGCACATGTACCTACATATAACAAACAGTATAATTTAGTAGACCATTATAGTGAACAACGAATATATGCCGAGTTTCATAGTTTGTCAACTATATGGGATTCAAAACCCATTTTTATAAAATCAAAAAATGTTTCACTGATACAAGCTCAAAATTTTCATAAGATTTTCGTCTATATACTCGTACAGTATATACAACGGCATCACAAAAAGTGATTAATTATTCGTATTCATATAAGATTCGAATATTCAGCATATAGTGTTCGTTTTAGTTGGTCTAATCTATCTTGTATTGCCCTTTTAACTAACTTTCAATAATTTAATTCTGTTCTGAAGTGACATGAGCAAATAGAGTTTTAGTTGAGATCTGAATGATTCGATTCCAAGATGACAATTATCTTAGACATCAGAGGTATTAAAACAGTTTACTATTTTTTTCCTAAAAATATTGTGTAAAAAATCATGTTTGGAGACAATATGTATCATACACTCTAAACAAAGCAGTGTGCTTTTGACTGTGAAACCGTGTATGTAAACCCGACCTCCGCCCCAATAAATACAGTTCTTAAGGTAATCTTATTCTATTACTCTTAAACTCATGATATCCGAGTTAAACGAATTCACGTATTATATTATATAGTATCCTTTATTATTTAATACACCATTAAAACATAATACTATAAACACTGTTTTAAAACCACTCACCATCCGCGATCCGATTCCTGGACATCGCGTATTTTCAACTGCCAGATGCGGTGCTCCGTGTGGGAGATGCCGATTCGATGGTTCTTGGTGATGACGTGGTTCTGGATGCTCAGAATCGTCTGCGTGTCCACTCGCAGCCAGGCCACCTTGAAGCTAACCAAGTCGTGGACAACACACGTGAGCAGGCCATCCCGTCCCACGGGAACCGTTGAGTTGTTGATGGGACCACTGAACTTGGGATCCGCTGGAAAGGAAGAGGGCAGCAAACCCAATTGGTTGACATTTACGGCTTTCATCATTAGGGCGCTAAATGGGGCGGGCACAACGCATCTGGTGGGTGGTTTATGAGGCTTGCAAATGTTAGACATTGGCATTTGCTCTGTTTTCATTTCAAGAAACTCGGGCGCAAACGTTTAATTCAATTAAAAAATAACCTTTTTTATTGTGTGGCCTATTTCCTTTGGGTTTTTTAATCCACAATTATCAGGATAATTATTACTATTCTCCTTCTTTCTTATTTCTGCGTGAGTCTGCAGAATGTCACCAGCCTTAGCAGAATATGTTCAACATCTGCCAGATTGCCCTCCAAAGTGGTCAACGATTTCAAAATTGTTCAACAGTCATAAATTTGTTGAGGCTAACATTGAGCCGAGACAGCAGCAAATAATCCAACAATTAGTGAAATTAACTTTTTTTAGAGATGACAGCTGTGCTCGACAAATAAGGTGTTTCATATAAGGAAAATTTTGTCGCAATGTTTAGAGCTTTGAGATAGTACTAGGTGGTCTACTACCTACTTACTAAAAAACTCTAAAAGGTTTTTGTGGTTAATTTGATAACACGGTTAATTTTTTTGGTCGGTTGAAATAATTGCCACATTTGGAGTCGCTCACCCCACCATTCAGCGATTTGGATAATATTTTGATAATAAGACTGCGTTGCACAAAAAAATTCAGGATATATAATTTCTAAAACATTTCGAAATGCTGATTTGTAATATGGCCACGAAAAAGTTTTCGTACTTCAGAGTTTATCATTTTTGAGCCTCAATAACAGGCAAACGGATTTATGGATTTGAATATGACCAAGTGCCACCTTTCGCGTTGGATTATTTGTTTTCTAAAATAATTAGAGTTTTTTTTATTAGAAACGTGAGACAAAATGTTTCCCATACATTTCTTAAAAAAAAAGAAAGGAAGCCATCTTCGGCAATATAAAGTTTTTATACCCTTGAAACTTTTAGAAAAATTAAATATTCCATATTTATATTTCGATGACTAAAAACAACAAAGCTAGGTCGATTTTCCGATCGTTCCAATGGCAGCTATATGTTATAGTCGTCCGATTTTAATAAAAGTAATATCGCAGACGACAAAGTTATACTTTTACTTCCCTTTTTTCATGATTGTTCCTATGGTAGCTATGTATATGATGTAGTATGCCGATACGACCCATCCGACTTATACAATACAATAAAAACGAGGACGGAAGCTAACTTCGGCAAGCCGAAGTTTTAATACCCTTGCAGACTTTGCCGAAATTGCTAAAACTGAAAAAGTAGCGAAACGAATAAGGTATACATAAATAAACTAGATTTGCGTCGTTTGATGTCAATTGCTTTTATACTGCAAAAATGTCATATAAAAATGGAAAAGAAGGGATACTTTCGCAGCCTTTAACTATTTTTCCTACGGAAGCTATAAGAAATAGACGTCCGATCGGTAAGCGCTTTTACCCTAATCAAGATATGCGTAAATAAATAAGACTTGGAAAAATGTATGTCAGTAGCTTACACACTACGCGAAAAATTCAGAAAATCATCAAATTTGTACCGATTTCACCCTGTTGTTCCTATGGGAGCTATAGGATATAGACGTCCGATCGCCAAGCGCTTTTACCCTGATCAAGGTATGCATAAAAAAATAAGATTTGGAAAGATTTATGTTAATAGCTTTTACACTGCGCGAAATATCTTCCATTCTTGAAAGTTATATCCGATTGTTCCTATGGGAGCTATAGGATATAGACGTCCGATCGCCACGCGCTTTTACCCTGATCAAGGTATGCATAAAAAAATACGATTTGGAAAGATTCATGTCAATAGCTTTTACACTGCGCGAAATATCATCAATTCTTGCAAGATATATCCGATTGTTCCTATGGGAGCCATAGGATATAGACGTCCGATCGGGGCGATTTTCAAACTTGATCTGCGTACACATGTTTTAGGACGAGTGTGAAAGTTTCAGATCGCTAGCTTTTAAACTGAGCTCGCAAACGGTATTGAAACAGACGGACAGACGGACAGACGGACATGGCTATATCGACTCCCCTATTGATCCTGATCAAGAATATATATACTTTATAGGGTCGGAAACGTCTCCTTCACTGCGTTACAAACTTCTGACCAAAATTATAATACCCTCTGCAAGGGTATAAAAAGGCTTGTTTGCAAAGTTTTATTAAAATAGCATTGCGTAGAAACAGACACAGGAACTGGCGGGCAGTCATGACTAGATACTGATCAAGAATAAATATATATTCTATTCTTGATCAGTATATATCCATGTCTATAAATATATATACTGTGTTGCAAACTTTTGACTGAAAGTATGAAACCCTCGCCAAGGGAATACAAATTGATGTGGGAAATAAGGTAGTCATACTTTTTCGTTGATAGTTATCAAAATCTTAAAAATCTTAAAAATGTTTGGAAAGAAATATCTAATAGCCAAATTTGGAATCTGGTATACAAACTTGTTCTTTTCATTGATGCACAAAATAAACGTCAAATTTAATTGCTTAAAAATCGTATACGCTATTTATTTATCTTCTTAGATTGACTTTTAGTGATAACCAAAAAATATCATAGGCCTAACATTTTGGCACTAACCCTAACCTTGAACCCCATCGCCTAAGTCCCAACACCTATTGACTTTTTCTGGTAGATGCCTGATTCAGCTCTACTTGAGTCGCATCGCAATCAAGCTGCCCAACCGCAAGACTTCGACATTTGACGCCAGTCAACTTAACCACCAGAATTCCGACCGCACACCGACCTCAGACCATCGCAAACACAACAATTGGAGGGAGGCATAAAATATGGAAAGAATCACATCACATGCCTAGCAAGTAGCATGACTTTGTGGCCAGGAGACGAGGTCTCCAGCTCCTCACCTCCTCACACAGCAAATACCTAAATTACAATTATGACCAAATAATAACCCGAAAAAATGCAAAAACCTAAAGAGCGGAATGGGCAGGTGCTAGTACCTGGAAAATTGTAAAAAGCTGGCTACACCTTTACATTTGGGGGGCCCAACGCATTGATTGCGGCATGGGTGTATGGGTGTGGGCGTGATTCAACCAAACTAGCATCAAATTGGGGAAGCCTGCGATGCCATGCCATATAGCCTATAATTTGCGATTATGTTTGGGTCGGGGTCTGGCCAAAGTAGGGTGTTTTCGGTCCGAGTCGGGGTTGCACCTTTCGCCCTTTAAACGCGAGAGACGCCATTGTTTGACTGCTTTCAGTTGATATGGTTTCTGTTTTTGTTGTGATTGCAATTTGGCTATTGCATGTTTGCATATTGAAACAGTCAAAAGAAAGGGACGAGCGAGACTTTTTAGACCATAAAACATATAATATTTGCACTGAGAATAAAAAACTCGGCCAGAAAAATATTTCCATAACTTTAAGTGATCCGGGAACCCCAAAGGTCAAAAAGTTACAAAATTACTGCATTAAAACTGTTTAGGAGTGTTTACATTATTTATAAATAAAACCTTTCCTGCATAACATATTTATTTTATAAAATTGCAAGATCGCCATCTTTCTTCAAAACAAGGTTTTCAAAATTTTTTGAATTTTTCTGTAAATGTATAAATAATATGAGAATGACACTCGAATGACACTCCGGCAAAGACATCATTACTGTTTGCACATTTATTTCCAATACAACTTCTCGTTATAGTTTATACTTATAGAAACATAAATGGTTAGGTCGACTCGGCTTATTGGGTTTTCTTCTATATATAAATACTTTCATCAAAAAATTAAGTGCAACAAATTTATTACTATGGTCAAGACCTTGAACTGTAACGGAAAGTTGAGTAACTTTGAAATAAATAAATATTTATAAAATATTTCAAAGGTTAAGTCTATAAAGCGTCAACGTATTTTTTGACACCAATATTCGATTAGTGTCAGCTTTTTTGAGTGTATAAAAGGCCCTTTTTACCTAAGTCCTGCTTCATTTATGTCTGCAAGGTAAGGCAATTTCGCGTTTAACTTTTTCGCCACTATACGCCTTTGTTGTTGCCGCTTTTTTTAGAGGAAATTGACTATGAGTTGTTAAATGTATTCCTGTTTTCTGGCACGATTTGTATCGCTGGCCGAAGGCTTAAGCCGCAATTTCCCCATCAAGTTCGAGCAAATCCGGCAGAGTCCTTTCCCCACGCCGTTGAACTTGAAACGGAAAGTGAATGTCCTGTCTCCTGTTAGACACTCCAACCGTCTGCAGGCGAGTGCAGGCGAAAAGAATCACAATCAGCACGCAATGTCGCCAAAAAAAGAAAAATAACCCACTGCAGTGCCTGCAACACCCGAATCTCCCACCGAAAACCCGGCACTTCAGCGGCAGAAACCACCAGCCACGAATAGAAAAATGAAAATAACGCAGAGTGCAATAGGAAGTGGGAAACGTCGCCTTTCCGCGACTGTCTGTCTGCCTGCCCGCTGCGAAGGCCATGGTGGGTGGTGGATGGTGGTGGTTGGTATGTGGGCGGTGGGTGGATTGGGGCAGAGCTCCGTGGGGTGCATCACTCCTTTGAGCCACTTCTCACTTTCTTATCGCACGCTGCGGCTAGCCTGCCAATATTTATGTTTATTTTGCATCTGGCACATTGATTTAAATAACGAATTTCGAACTTTGATATATTTATCGCACTTGGCTCGCCAAAGTCAAGGAAAATTTGTTTTGTTTTTTGCAGGCCATTTTGCCTGGCGGAAGTTGCCCCTCGTTTCTCTTCCGCAGTCCTCCTCCGGATGCCCCTCCGCCCTGTCTGGGGAATATGTTGGCCACAGTTTATTCACTTATGGACTCGTTGGACTTCCGATTACCAGCTGCCTTCCATTTTATCCGCTGCTGCTGGTATTTACAACGCTTTTCGGTAGCACTTTGGTTTCAGATAGTTTGCAGTCAATTAGTTGTACGTTTTCGTGCTTATATTTTGTGGCGGGTTACAAAATTTTATCTAGTAGACAGATTAACATTTAATTGTCAAGATAATTACCTTTCGAAAGGTGCAGTTAAGACCAATAAATTAAATATGATGGATTTTTACTGCACAGCTAAATTAGTAATTTTAAAATAATTGTTCGCTGTTTGGAAATGTTCCATTACGACTTATTTAAGAATTGTTATTACTTAAGATCCGACAACTTGATTTAAAATTTTGATAAAATATAAAATAATATAAAACACAAAACTTGATCTGTATATATGTTTTATTAAATTTTGGTTATACTAATAAGGAATAACATAAAGATTACTGCGTAATAAAAATAAAACGTGTTTGGGGTGCCATGAAATTTACATATTTCCTATTCCGTGGCTTACATTTCGACAAGCTTTTAAATTAAAATAAAAAAGGTTCTTAACGGAATCAAAATTAAACAGCCGTGTTGTTTTATTTTGGTAACGTTTGTGCAGGAGTTGTAGCGCTGCATTGGTACTTGGAATATGGGAGTATTAACTTTTGTTCACATGCCTAAGTCATTCCTTTAAGTTAACCATCTCATCGGTCGACTTACAATTGTTTAACTCCGAGAAACTGGCGTGGCTAAAGCAGAGGCACTGCGTCAGCAGCAGCCAGATCCCAGGAAAACCCCTTCCCATGTTCCCAGCTTAACGGCGACCAAAGTGCGAAACTTTCAAAATATTGTTTTACTTATTTTTATTATGCCACTTTCACTGGTCAAATAGCCAAGCCAAACTTCCGCCGCACAGTGCAAATTTATTTTTTCCGGTTTTTTGGTAAAGTTTTCCGCCGATTGCCAGGGACAGACGTCCGCACACTCTTGCAACTGGCCGCGAACTGCGAGCGTAGCTGATAATCAACTGTCAAAATTCATGTTCAAAATTCAAATGCTGCTGCCTGGCGAGGCGGTGGCGTTGCGCATGTGTCCTGCGGCTGGCGAGGTGGCAGGATAAAGGATGGAGGATGGGGGATGGGGGTCGGTTGGCCAATAGTCAAGGTGCCCGCAGCCAAGAGACGGAGGTATGCAGTAGTAAATGTTTCATTCATAAAGCGCCCGGCGTAACATTTCCATATGCACGTGACGCTGTTGCTCCAATGGAGTAGGGAAAGTGACACATCATTGGTATTTGGGGGCGGATGGGGTCTTTCATCTCCTTGCCAACTCCAACTAAATAACTCACCCAATACCATTCTAATTAACCCCGAAATTCCGCACATCTCTTACCGAACTTTCACCTGTCTTCGCATCCTTTGGCTTCCTGCTTTTATGCCACGCTTGCACTTTTCCAACTGGCTTGGTTTGCATGTGTGAGCTTTTTAATAAGTTAGCAATGAGTTCGCTTCGCTTCGCTATTTGCGCACAATTAGCGCTTTTCAATAGCGATAACAATAATGATAATAAGCAAGCGGAGTTTGCTTGATTGTTGTTGTTTTCTCCAGGGCACATCTTCTGCTGGCACATACAAGTTTCTTACGACGTGTGCACTCTTAAGGCACTTTCTTCGAATTACGTTTTATTTGTATTTGGGCTCTGACTTAACAACCAAACGTGATGGAAGATGTTGATTAACAGTTTATAACTCCAGTTCCGTCTCCCTCTATTTTTAAATCAAATAAATGATTTTGATAATTTAATCACATTATCATTTTAGTAGACTTAAATACGGATACGGAATCCGTATTACGGATGCTCCCCAGTTTCGGGATATGAATCATTTAAATCATAAGATTCACATGATTCATCACGAAAACCCAGCAGTGGTTTGCCAATCACATGTACAGTTAGTCACAAAAGTATTCGTTGCGAGGTACCCTACGAATAAATACATGTTTTTATACCCTTGCAGAGGGTATTATAATTTTGGTCAAAAGTGTGCAACGCAGTGAAGGAGACATCTCCGACCCTATAAAGTATATATATTCTTGATCAGGATCACCTCCTGAGTTGATATAGCCATGTCCGTCTGTCCATAGAGTAAGAAACTATATAGAGGTTTCATTTGCTCTGCCCGGGCCTCTGCCAAAGCTCTGCTGAGAGCCATGTTCGAAGCTAACTTCTTCAAACTTCGGTTTCTCACCACTTCTAACATGTGCGAAGCACAAGCAATAGTATGGGGAATTCTCGCACCTATCCTTAGGAATAAGAGCGACCAGTGCAGCAATAAGAATTCACCATGGGCATGGATTCAGGCTCGATTCGAACATTTGCAAAACTCTCTTTTTTTCCGTTTTTCGCCTAGGTGGCATCACTGGAAATGTCACTCGAGAGCGCAGGCAGAGCAAATGACGCCTCTATACATTATTACTCTATGGTCTGTCCGTCTGTCCGTCTGTCTGTCCGTCTGTCTGTCCGTCTGTCTGTCCGTCTGTCTGTTTCTACGCAAACATAGAGTAAGAAACTATATAGAGGTTTCATTTGCTCTGCCCGGGCCTCTGCCAAAGCTCTGCTGAGAGCCATGTTCGAAGCTAACTTCTTCAAACTTCGGTTTCTCACCACTTCTAACATGTGCGAAGCACAAGCAATAGTATGGGGAATTCTCGCACCTATCCTTAGGAATAAGAGCGACCAGTGCAGCAATAAGAATTCACCATGGGCATGGATTCAGGCTCGATTCGAACATTTGCAAAACTCTCTTTTTTTCCGTTTTTCGCCTAGGTGGCATCACTGGAAATGTCACTCGAGAGCGCAGGCAGAGCAAATGACGCCTCTATACATTATTACTCTATGACGCAAACTAGTCTCTCAGTTTTAAAGCTATCGAACTGAAACTTTGCACACACCCTTCTTTCCTTTGCACGCAGTATATAAGTCGGAACGGACGGGATCGGCCGACTATATCCTATAGCTGCCATATAACTGATTGATCGGAAATGCCATAACTTTGGTGTTTGTAAAGTTAGGAAGCTGGGACTTCCTATGGGTTTTATATTTGGCCAATCAATCCGACCTACCAAATTTCATAAGGATCGGCCGACTATATCCTATAGCTGCCATATAACTGAACGATTGGAAATGCGATAACTTTGGTGTTTGCAAAGCTAGGAACCTGGGACTTCCTATGGGTTTTATATTTGACCAATCAATCCGACCTACCAAATTTCATAAGGATCGGCCGACTATATCCTTTAGCTGCCATATAACTGATTGATCGGAAATGTCATAACTTTGGTGTTTGTTAAGTTAGGAAGTTGGGATTTTCTATGGGCTATATTTTTGGCCAATCAATCCGACCTATCAAATTTCATAAGGATCAGCCGACTATATCCTATAGCTGCCGTATAACTGAACGATTGGAAATGCCATAACTTTGGTGTTTTTAAAGTAAGAAAGTTGTGATTTTTTATGAGTATTAAGAATGCATCATATGAATAATTTTGGAGAATATAATTTACAGAGTATTCTGCAAGGGTATATCAACTTCGGCTTCGCCCGAAGTTAGCTTTCCTTTCTTGTTTTTAATGAATATGTAACAAATTAATATTTTTATTTATTGTTTGGGGTAAGGCACTTATTAAACATACAAAAAATAACTACATTTTTTTTAGAAAATTAGCTTCATTGCTGTTTTTTTCTTTGGAAAATATTAGAACTACAAAATATCGTCTCACAAAAGTATTCGTTTTTTTGTTTCGGCATTAAATATTCATGTTTTTTTTTAAACTTTAGTATTTTGTGTGCAAGCCGTTGTTGTCTTTAATAGCTTGTAAGCGCCTCGGCATTGACTCCACTAGTTTTCGGCACCTCACTTCGGGTATATTCGACTATTCAGCAATATCTCCTTTAGGTCATTCTTGGATGAAATCTTATATTCCTGGACTTTTAGTTTAAGATGGGCCCAAAGATTTTCAATAGGGTTGACGTCTGGGCTCTATGGAGGAGTGTGAATCTGCTTGGTGTTGTACAACAGCCAATTCTTGACTTTCCAAGGCGTGTGTTTGGGATTATTGTTCTGTTGGACAATGAACTTGCCGTCTATGGGTCTAGACCCATTTTGGTGGCACTGGAGTGTAAATTTTCCTTTAATATTTTTTAATATCCTTCAGCATTCATAATTCCGTCTATAAAAGGGCATCTCCCATGCAGATCTTGGCTCCTGAGCACTCTTCGGACGGTTTCAGTGGATACGTTTGCTCCCAGGGATTTGGATATGACAGTATTAATTTTCGGAGCCGAAAGGTGCGGATTTTTCCTGTTTTCTTCGATGATTTTCCTCTCTTCCCAGCAGGTTAATGATTTTGGACGGCCAGAACGGGGTAGATTTTGCAGGGAATTTCTGGATTTCAGTCGAGAAATGAGACTCCTTATGGTCTCATTATCTAGGTGTAAAATAATTTTTTTTGCTAGAGATTTACACGGAGAATGACACCAAAAGATTGTGTTTTTCCCCGAATTCAGACTTTAAGTCTAGTATCCAGATCGACGAAAACCGTACGCCAGTCATGAGAGAGAGCGAGAGGCAAAGAGCTGGCGTTCACCTTTCGTCGGCCTTTTTTGCACGTCGGTCCCCTGATCGACGAAAAAATACCAGAAAATTCCATAGCGTTGCCAGTCTGCGGAAATGAACTTTTGGTGAACCCTAGCGAAAAGATTAAAAAATTTAAAATTTTATTAAAAAATTTAATCTTTTGGCGTGCGCTTCTCACTGAACATTATAAGAAATTGAGGGAAAATCTCAAAAAACTCGCAAAAGTCGATTGCAGGTGCTTACAGGGGAGGACAAAATAACATTAATACTATCTGGGGTGCCTCTTGTCAGAGCAAAATGTTTTTTAGGTCCAGAATGTACGAAAAAACACAATAAAAGTGCAGCTATGAACTTTAAATTAGCAAATAATTATCAGTAAATTAAAAAACAACTGTTAAATTTAAATTGTATTGTTTTTTAATTCATTTGTACAGCGGCAGACTTGTCTTGCCAAGGTATTTGATAATATCTTTTAAAGGCTCTTTCCCGCAAATACGATATTTAAATTTTAATTGCTTGTCAACAAACCCAGCTGATTGACAGTACGACCGTAGCACGCTTAAATCTGATGAACTCTCAAACTTTTGGTCACACTGGAAAGATTAAAGTATTTACGCTAGCGTAATCGTTTGTCGATCTGGATACTAGGCTTTAAAATAGAAACGCAATTAAAATGCCAAAAAAAAGTAATGCGCAAACCCCAAAAAATACTAAAATATAAAAAAATTGAATGTGCAACGAATACTTTTGTGAGCATTCAAAATGCATTAATGCATTAAGAAAGCATGTAAATACGAATTGATTCGCGTATAGTTTTTGGGATGCACAAAAAAAAAAAGAAACGATACGAAAAAGCGGTAAGGCACGTAAATCTACACCTAGGAATAATTGGAACATTTTAGGCATAGTAAAACCAAAGACCAATATAAATGATTATATTGGTCTTTGGTAAAACCTTGTGGTCCATCTCGAAAATGGATAATCTATGGTGCTTTGTAGGAATTTGGTTTGAACGGTTTTGTGTATCCTAAAAATATTCATATTCACATATATTCATATGGAATATATTATTTTAGCTCACCAATACTTCTGAATGACAGGCATCCTCTTCTGAACAATTTTCGTATTATTTAAGTATTCGTGGGTTGATAAATAAGCAAAAGAATTAGTTT